AATAGGCCAATTCCATGGAAATGAGACTGGCAGTGGCAGTGATAAAGGTGAACAACCCATGGCTAAATGAAATTAAGTATGTGAGGTGGACTGACTTGGGCAAAGATAGGAGGCCAGGGTGAATGTATGGTAATTATTACCTATTTGCTTAAATTTGGTGACTAGGTGGTTGCTAGTATGATTCAGTAGGATGGAAGGGAGACAAGAGTAGCAGAAATAAGTTTTCTTTTAAACATCTTGTATTTGAGGTACCTGTGACTCATTTGCTGGTGTATATATTAATCAAAATCGTAAGGAAAGTGGGCTGAGCAGAAGTACAGATTTGAGAATCATCAACGTGTGTGTATTAAAATGAAGGAAATGGATGAAGTCAGCAAAGGTAGGGTAGAGGGTTAGAGAAGGTGAAGTTTGAGAAGCAACCATATTTAAAGCCCATGAGCCTGTATCTTCAGCAACCAGAACAGAATGTAAGCTACTCAAGGATGGAGATTATGACTTCATCATCTGAGGTTCTGTAGGCCAGGCACAATGCCTGACAAATAATACATGCTATACATACATAACATTACACACGCATAAGCACACACACGATGTCGTAAAAATCGAGACACTGATGAGTCAGTTGAGTTATTTTTTGAGGTCTTCACATGGGTTCTTAGGGACAGTCTGGCCTGAGTTTTTCTCTCTGCTCTGTGGCTCCATGTTAGGATGGTCTTTATGTGTGTCATGTCATGGGGTAGTGGACATGGAAGGAGAAATGTGGATAAGGGCATGACCTGTTACTCCTTGACTTAACCTGTCTTTTTCCTTCCTAGGATGTGAGTGATGTCACAGAAAGGTATGTGTAGGAGAACATGAGGTAGCTCCCCTGGATTGACAGATGATTCCTTTACCCATGAACAGTGGGAAAGGGAAGAAGAATCAGAGTGGGGAAGATTCAAGACTATAGTCTTGAATTGAGCATCACATGAGAGTTTTGGCATCCCCAGCTAAAGGGGATGAACTGGCTTCTCTGGTAGGAAAATGTGGGCGATGGGAGGTCACTAGTTGGGGAGTTGGGGACAGTACTGTTATTTAGAATAAAGAATTGCAGTATCGCACCATTGTACTCCAGCCTGGGAGACAAAGGGAGACAGACTCCGCCTCAAAAAAAAAAAAAAAAAAAAAGAATAAAGAGTTGCAGTATCAGTGACTCCCCGAGTACCCTGTTAAGTGTACTTTTCCATAAACCTCTGTGCCTGCTTTCATCCCTGATTCTTAAGTTTATAGTTACCTCAAAATACACAGGAATTTTCTTTGCCCATAAAGTTGCCTTTTTTTTTTTTTTTGAGACAGAGTCACACTCTGTCGCCCAGGCTGGAGTGCGGCGGTGTGATCTCGGCTCACTGCAATTTCCTGCCCGTGAATTTTATCAGTGACATTCCTATCTGCATTATTTCTCAAGATCTAAGAATTTGCTCTTGGGACTTTTTCTTTCTCCCAGGCCTTGCTCCCTAGTAGATTTTCTTTTGTCTCAATTCCAGTAAAAACATAAACCCGAGCTCTTGAGGATAATAATTGAGCCCGGGAATCAAACATGTTCTCTATTGCATACTCCAGAGTCTTATCAACAAGGTGACATCTCAAGCTGCTTGCACACTTGGTACCTTCATGCTCCTCACAGACACATAAAATATGAAGCCTGTTGTCCCTTCTGAAATCTGTACTCTCCATTTGGAGGTGAGGATATCTGTTCTCCAGCTGGCGGCATAACAGTCCCAGAGACAGCAAATCTTAAAATGCTGTGTTGAAGGTTTTCTGAGAAATCCTAGGGCCTAAGCCCACAGACTCTTCTGAAGAAACCCCTTCACTTGATACTCTCCAAGCCCCAGCAGCAGGCCCCTGGTGTTCTGTCTTCAACCCAGACATCTTCAGCCCCTCTGATTTTAAATATTTTATATCTTTTTTTAGAGGTAGCAAAAGATTTCCAAGCCATTATTTTACTGAATTGCATAACATCTCTAGGACATAGAAAAAGGAAAATTATAGTATTTTCTAAAAATAACAACAGAAAAACAAAATGAGACTTTAAGAAGTTAAATCTTGGCCAGGTACAGTGACTCACACCTGTAATCCCAGCACTTTGGGAGGCCGAGGAGGGCGGATCACGAGGTCAAGAGATCGAAACTATCCTGGCTAACATGGTGAAACCCTATCTCTACTAAAAATACAAGAAAATTAGCCAGGTGTGGTGGCATGTGCCTGTAGTCCCAGCTACTCAGAAGGCTGAGGCAGGAGAATTGCTTGAACCTGGGAGGTGGAGGTTGCAGTGAGCCGAGATCACGCCACTGCACTCCAGCCTGGGCGACAGAGCAAGACTCCATCTCAAAGAAAAAGTTAAATCTTACACAAGTTTATGTAGATGGTGAGATGATAGTTTCTAGTCTAGGTCTTCTGGCTCCAGTGTCAGGGCTGTTTGTAAAATGATGCTAAGTTTCTTCAGAAAGGAGGATTGGAGTTCATCAGTAGGCTTGGGAGGTAAGGGAGACGGGTGGCAGAGGAACCCATAGTCAGCAGTGTGGGAACTCAGAAGTCCTGTCCTTTCTAGGAGTGAGTTCTGGACCCTGAGGAAGCCAGAAGCTCTCCCTACAAAGCTGAGAAGTATGTTTCGAGCCCCAGATCTGAAAAGGATGCTGCGAGTGTTTAGAGGTAAGGAGATTCAGGGGAAAGAGTTTGGATGTGCAATTACTTCGTGGGAAGAAATAAACAGGATCGAGGATATAGTTGGTATTTGAGCATAGTAGCAAAGAGGGAGGTCCCAGAGGGAGGGACATAGTGTGCTGAAGAAGATGCAGTTTGTATTTAAGGGGAGATGAGATGGCCAGGTGACATCCTCACAGGATTCCTCACCATGCCCCTCAATCTGGTAAGGAGAGAGATACCAGACATGAGACAACTGGTCCTATTCAACATTATTGACTCTTTTCATCATTACAGAGCTGACAGATGTCCAAAGCTACTGGGGTAAGTAGAAGCCATGGCCTCTTTGGGCTGGCACATTCTGATCTCCTTTCACATGTGCTCCCCAGACATAGCCACACAGGTCCTAGGTGTTGATGCCTCCCCCATCCCCGCCATATAGTTCCAGTTCTTCCAACCACTTCCTGTGTTTCCTCTTCTCAGCATAATGAGACCCATGTCCCTATTCTCATCTGCTGATGTTGTGCCTTTTCCTACAGTGGACGTGACCCTGAATCCACACACAGCTAATTTAAATCTTGTCCTAGCTAAAAACCGGAGACAGGTGAGGTTTGTGGGAGCTAAAGTATCTGGACCTTCCTCTCTGGAAAAGCATTATGACTGTAGTGTCCTGGGCTCCCAGCACTTCTCCTCTGGAAAGCATTACTGGGAGGTAGATGTGGCCAAGAAGACTGCCTGGATCCTGGGGGTATGCAGCAATTCAGTGGGACCTACATTCTCTTTCAACCATTATGCTCAAAATCACAATGCTTACTCCAGGTATCAGCCTCAGAGAGGATACTGGGTGATTGGGTTACAGCATAACCATGAATACAGGGCCTATGAGGATTCTTCCCCTTCTCTGCTCCTCTCCATGACAGTGCCCCCTCGCCGTGTTGGGGTTTTCTTAGATTATGAGGCTGGCACTGTTTCCTTTTATAATGTCACAAACCATGGCTTCCCCATCTACACTTTCTCTAAATATTACTTCCCCACTACTCTTTGTCCATATTTTAATCCTTGCAACTGTGTAATTCCTATGACCCTGCGTCGTCCAAGCTCTTGAATAGTCTTCTGTTCCCACCCACTTCTGATAAGTACCCTGAGGCTTATCAGCATGTGATTCTCCCTTCTGATCTTCTGTTTTTCTGTGTTCTCAATTCTTTTGTCATTTTTTTGGTTTTTGGATTTGTTTGAGATGGAATCTCGCTCTGTTGCCCAGGCTGGAGTGCAGTGGCGCAATCTCAGCTCACTGCAATGTCTGCCTCCTGGGTTCAAGCGAACCTCCTGCCTCAGCATCCCAAGTAGCTGGGATTATAGGCTCCCACCACCATGCCCAACTAATTTTTGTATTTTTGTAGAGATAGGGTTTCACCGTGTTGGCCAGGCTGATCTCGAACTCCTGACCACAAGTGATCCACCCACCTCGATCTCCCAAAGTGCTGGATTATGGATGTGAGCCATCGCACCCAGCCAATTCTTTCGTTTTACTCAGTACTAGGATGCACCCAGTGGTGAAAGTAGGCATCTTTGTCTGATGACAGGTCTTGACGTGGATAGGGGGCGCTTTCATTATTTTGCCGTTAAGCATAGTATTTGATGCAGGTTTTTTTTTTTTTTTTTTGGTTGATGCAGGGGATCAAATTTAGGAAGTTCTGATCTGTTAATTTGCTACAAGTTTTTGTATAAAATGAAAAATCGTATTCTACCTATGTCTTCTGTAAATTATTGAGATAATTGTGTGTAATTTTTATTCTGTTAATGTGGCTTAGTACATTGATTTACTTCAATTTGTTATATTGGCCACAAATTGCTGAAATACACTGTTATTATTTGTTGTATGCAATACTGGATTTATTTTGATAATGTATTGTTTAGATTTTGTTTTCATCTATGTTAATGAAACAAATTGGCCTGTATTTTTACATTCTTGTAATATCTTTGCCAGGTTCTATAAAATGCAATAATAACCAAATAAATTACTGTGTTTTTGTGTAAGTATGTATAGGATTGGACTCTAAAGCCAAACCATTATAATGATAATTTGGGTAGCTTCAAACTCAAATTGAAGAGAGTCTTTGCTACAATCTTCACTACAACCTTAGGCCTTCCTCTCTACATTTAAGAATAGCAATAGAACAATAAAAACTATATATATCTTTCAGATAAATTGAAGTAAAAACAAAAGGATAGTGGAGAGAGAAAAACAATCCAATACATATTTTTCTCTCACAATAGAAAGAAAATTCAAAGAGAAAATATGAATAATATAAAGCACTTACAGGAAGAGGATGATTTCTTCCAGCTTTTCCACACTCTCTTTTCCTTAGCACAGGAACAAACAGCTGGTGAGTGAGCTGCTAAGACTTTGGTAGAGAGGTGCAATATGTTTTTTGAACCAGCTATAAAAGAAATTATGAGGTACATGTGAGGGTAGAAACAAGTATCAAGGAGAAGAATGGCACTGGCTGTCCCATGTGGTATCTAGGAGCCACCAATGTCTATTGAGGACTTCACACATGACTAGTCTGAATTGAGATGTGCTCAAAGTATAAAATATATACCAGATTTCAAATACTTACTTCAAAAACTAATGTAAAATATCTCACTAATAACTTTTCCTTTGTGTATTGCAATGATAATATGTTGGCTCTATTGGATTAAATAAAATATGTTATTCATTGTACCTGTTCCATTTTACTTTTTTAATGTGATACTAGAAACCTTAAAATTGTATTTCTATTGGACAACTCTGGAGCAGATCCTATAATGAAATTTCTGTCCCTAAGTGAGCCCTAGTGTAAAAGCCTGTGGACTCAGGATACAGAGGAGGTTTCAAGGCACATATGTTTATCTCTACAAGAACCTGCTGCCCTGAGGCATTTTTATAGAAGGTAATGCCAGAGAAAAGAAGATCTCAACATATCTAGAAGTGTAGAAATTTGGAAGATCATAGGAAGGGCTCATGGCCAGAGAATGATTCTGCCGGCTCTGGTCCCTGCCGTTAGTCCTCAGTCTGTTGGGCGCTTGAAGCTCCTTCGTGGTTTGAGGAAATACTGATTTGTTAGCAAGGCTCAGCTTGGGTGTCTGTGGTGAGATAAAGTAGTGCGGGTAATAGTAAAAGCCCAGTACTGGTTTGTTCTAAGGCACGGTTTTATAATAATTAGGAGATAACGTCTGTGGAAGCCCAGAGACTGGATGCAAATTCCTCATCCTGCTCTGCATTTCAACTGGAAGAGATATAAAAGGAGACAGAGCCGGCTGACTGGGGCCCATGGGGCTGGTGGAAGTTCAGGACAGAGAAAGATCTGCTGGAGTACTTATCCCCTTCCCACTTATTTTCCCATACAGTAAGTTCTAGGCAAAAAAATTAGCCCAGCTGTCTTCTACTGTAAACTCACTTTACAAGTAAATTTACTTTCCAAGTGAATTTACTTTATAAGTAAAATGTTTTTTGTCACCAGAGTTCTAGGGATGTGGTATAGTTATCCTAATATTTCCCCAAATGTGAGTGCTTGCTAGAGCGGGCATTTAAGTTTGATGCTAACTTAAAAAGATTTTGGAAGGGAGAGGGACTTTCTTAACATCTTTATTGTGATATTTACAAATACTTGCTGGAATTCTATAGGTAAGACCTAGGGAAGGTTGCTCAATCTGAGACTTGGGGACAATTATTAGGGTAAGTTCAGAGCTCTGACCTTTTCCTGAGGGATTATGGGGGCTTGACAGAGGCCTTCTGTTCTTGAAATTTTTGGTGTGATAGAGTAGGCTAAACTACTTTTAAAAAAGAACCAAAATACATAATGGATCAAATACTAAAGAAATGTATTTCTTGTTAATGTAAAACAATTGGTCACGAGTATATGTAACTGGTGGTGAGTGGCACTGTTCCATGTGGGATTCGTGCGCCAAGCTTGCTTTCATCTTGTGGCATTTGCTGTACCCCAGAATAGTATTAACAGCATCAAGCTGGCAGAAAGGTAAAGAAAAAACTTAGCGGAGAAAACTTGCTTTTTAAATCCTTAGTTCATAGATGGGATTCGTAATATCTGCTCATTTTCTGTTAATGAGAATAGCCATATGGCTAAACCTAACTGTAAAGATTTTTTAAATGTCTAGCTGTATGCAATCATCTACAATCAAATTTCAAGGGAAAGAAAACTCAGATTTTGGTGGAAACTGCCTGGAACCCTAAGTAGTCCCTTTTCCCATTATAGAGGACTCAGGATCTCAGCTTTTTTCTGGAACTATGTTAATTCCATTCTATAACCTAAAGTTTGTAAAAGAGAACCGTATTGTCACTAAAGTTCTAGACATGTGTTATAGTTATCCTAATATTTCCCAACAAGTGAGTGGCAGGTAAGTTTGATTCTAACTTAAAAAAATTTTTTTAGGGGAAGAGGATTGTCTTAACATTATTATTGTGATATAATTGACATATAATACATTTCATAAAGTATATAACTTGATACATTTTGACTCGTGAAACTCATCACCATCAAGGCAATAAATCAGATGACGTTCTTTTATGTATATACAGCACTTAGAGCTATAAATTTCCTTCTATGGCATCTCACAAATTTTGATATATTCTCCATTCTATTCAAGATTCTATTTTCCCTTTTGATTTCTTTGACCATTGAATTATTTAAAATTGTACTTTTTCCCTAATCTATGAGGATGTTCATATATCTTTTTGTTATTGGTTTATAATTTAATTTTAAATGGTCCAGATATAGACTTTATATGACTTGAATCCTTTTTAAATGTATTGAGACTTGTTTTACAGTGAAGGATATGATCTATATTGGTAAATGTTTCATTTGCACTTGAAAGAAATGTGTATTCTCTTGTCCTGGGGTACAGTGTTCAATAAACATCATGTTGGTCAACATTATTCAAATCTTCTATATCCTTACTGATTTTCTATAAGAGAGGGGTGTTGACATTTCCAACTATATTTATGAATTTGCCTATTTCTCCTGCAATTCTATCAGATTTTGCTTTTTGATTTTTAAAGCTGTTTTGTAAGGAGCATACACATTTAGGAATGTTACATCCTGTTGATGAATTGACCCCTTTCTCATTATGGAATTACCCTCTATCTCTACTAATATCTTTTTCTCCAAACTCTACTTTGTTAGATATTAATTTAGCCACTCCAGCTTTTTTTCTTTTTCTTTTCTTTTTTTTTTTTTTTTTTTTTTGAGACGGAGTCTTGTTCTGTCATCCAGGCTGAAGTACAGTGGTGTGATCTTGGCTCACTGCAACCTCTGCCTCCTGGATTCAAGCGATTCTCCTGCCTCAGCTTCCTGAGTAGCTGGGATTACAGGCGCCTGCCACCACATCCAGCTAATATTGTATTTTTAGTAGAGACAGGTTTTCCCTATGTTGGTCAGATTGGTCTCGAACTCCTGACCTCAGGTGATTCACCCGCCTTGGCCTCCCAAAGTGCTGGAATTACAGGCATGGGCCACTGCACCCAGCCCAGCTTTCTTTTGATTATTGTTTTCGTAACATACTTTTTCATCTTTTTACTTTTAAACTATTTGTGTTTTTATATTTAAAGATTATTTAGGCCAGGTGCAGTGGCTCATGCCTGTAATTCCAGCACTTTGGGAAGCTGAGGTGGGTGGATCACCTGAGGTTGGGAGTTCAAGTCTGGCCTGAACAACATGGAGACACTCCATCTCTACTAAAAGTACAAAATTAGCCGGGCTTGGTGGCACATGCTTGTAATCCCAGCTACTCGGGAGGCTGAGGCAGGAGAATCACTTGAACCTGGGAGGCAGAGGTTGCGGTGAGCCGAGATCGTGCCATTTTACACTAGCCTGGGCAACAAGAGCGAAACGCCATCTCAAAAAAAAAAAAAAAAAAAAAAGAAGTATTTAAGTAGCATGTTGTTGCTCTAGGTAAATGATATAGTTATCTTCATTTTTCCCAACAAGTTACTGCCCGAATGGGCATTTTAACTTAGTTTTAATTAAAATTTAGATATTTTGCTACTTTACCTTTTGTCTAAATGATCTTGATTCCATGGGACTCAGTTTTTTAAACATTTGCTATATAACTGCTTTGTGCATACAATCTAGCCCTTGTCTTCACAGAGACTCAGTCAATTTTAGATAAAATAAAGGCATATTCTGTGCAAGGTTTATTTCAACCATCTTTTAGAAGATAAATTTGGGGTTCTAGGGTTCCAAGATTTAAAACATTATATTTGATTGGTGAAGGGCTAGTTCTCAGGTTCTCATTGGGTTGATGTTTAAGACCGAGAATAACCTTTTTTTTTTTTTCTCTTGAGATGGAGTCTCCCTCTTGTTGCCCAGGCTGGAGTGCAGTGGCACGATCTCAGCTGACTGCAACCTCTGCCTCCCGGGTTCAAGTGATTTTCCTGCCTCAGCCTCCCAAGTAGCTGGGATTAAAGGTGCCTGCCACCCCTGGCTAATTTTTGTATTTTTAGTAGAAACAGGATTTCACCATGTTGGCCAGGCTGATCTCAAACTCTCAGTCTCAGGTGATCTACCTCCCTTGGTCTCCCAAAGTGCTGAGATTACAGGCATGAGCCACCATGCCTGGCTTTTTTTTTTTTTTTTTCTTTTAAATAAATGCAAGCTTAGGTACAGGCTCATGTCAAACAAGGAATCAACTAAGAAACTGATTCATTTTTATCCATCTTGAAAACATACTAGTATTTGGAAGGCAAATAATTAAAATACGAAAAACAGGGAAGCTGAGTCTATTTTGGAATCTTTGAAAAAGCAGAGGAGAAATGTTAGGAGAGAATTGAAGATAGAACTGCAAGTTTATGCCATTATTGCCTATCTCAGCTAAGCATTGGCCTTTATTTCAAGAGATCAAAGGAAACCCTCACATTTTTTAACTGAAAGTCAACACATACATTTGAATCACATACATTTCCACCTGACCACTGAGGGTACTTGTATGAAGACAGCAACTGAGTTTTCTATATTGTTTCCTGTGTGTTAATCACATTTCTACACATTATATATATGGACTTAATCTTTTTTTTTTTTTTTTTTTTTTTTTTTTTGAGTTTTGCACTTGTTGCCCAGGCTGGAGAGCAATGACACAATCTCGGCTCACTGCAACCTCCGCCTCCCAGGTTAAGCGATTCACCAGCCTCGGCCTCCCAAGTAGGCTGGGATTACAGGCACCCACCACCACACCTGTCAAATTTTTGTGTTTTTTAGTAGAGACGGGGTTTCGCCATGTTAGCCAGGCTGGTCTCAAACTCCTGACCTCAGGTGATCCACCCGCCTTGGCCTCCCAAAGTGCTGGAATTACAGGCTTGAGCCACTGCGTACGGCCTGGACTCAATCTTCATAGTGGTCCTATGAAAATAGGTACTGTCATTATCCCTTTTTTTAAAAAAAGTGAGAAAATGGAGGTACAGTGAGATGAAAGAATTAGCTCAAAGTTGGACAAATATGAAGTGGTAGAATTGGCCTACAAAACATGGCAGCAAAATTCAGAGGCAACATTTTTATTCATTCCTCTCTGTTAGAAATCTGAAAAGGTCAGTGTGTGAGCCAAATCCTACTTTGATATCTATTTTTGTAAATGTACTTTATTGGAATATCACCATGCTCATTTATATATCATCTGTGACTGCTTTCAGGTTACAACAGCAGTGTTGACTGGTTGCAACAGAGACTGCTTGACCTGCAAATCCTAAAATATTTACTGTTTGACCAGGCTGACCAACATGGTGAAACCCCGTCTCTACTAAAAATACAAAAATTAGCCGGGCATGGTGGCACGTGCCTGTAATTCCAGCTATTCGGGAGGCTGAGGCAGGGGAATCGCTTGAACCCAGGAGGCAAAGGTTGCAATGAGCAGAGATCATGCCACTGCACTCCAGCCTGGGCAACAAAGTGAGACTCCATCTCAAAAAAAAAAAAAAAAAAAAAAAAAAGTCAAAGTAATGTATAATGCTCAAAATGTAATCTCACGCCTAATGAAGGAATAGACTCCTATAATTATACTACTCATAAATGATGTAAGTAATATTAAAGTTGGGGTCTAGCTTATGTTGACCAAGGTAATGATGAAAACTTCAAGTTTCAGCTTATGTTGAAAAACAAAATAAAATCATTTCATATGCAGATTTTAACACCACATTCAGGAATATCAATGGATATACAGGATAAAAGAAGAGAGAAAATTAGCCTATGATAAACTGTATACATTACATATTGATTAATCTATTATTAATTATTATTAATCTATTATTAATCTATTATTAATTATTAAAACAATGGCACAAGTACATGATTGTTTTGATTCTTGAGCCTTGATTGATTATAGATAACATCAAATATAGTATACTCTGGGGGAGAAAAGATTGGACTATGAGAGGAAATTCTATTTGAAGCTTTGTATAATTATAAGACATAAGGAGGATACAAATCTCATGAAGGGCAGATTTGGGAGAGAAACAGTGACAAAGCTAAAACCATGACTTACTTGGGAAACATCAGTGTAGCATGATAAGGACAAGCCATTTTAAATCACTCACATGAGCAGGCTTCATGTCATTGGGTAAAAATTCACAGTAACCCTGGAGAAAATTAAGAATGTGTGAATCGATGTATTGTGTGCAAATGGTGATATGATGGTAGCCTGAGTCATGTGAACTCCTTGGGAAAAACGGCCAACTTTGTGTAGCAAGTGGACTTTGTACTCCTATTATCTAAAAAGAGCCTCTGCATGTACTCATTGACAAAAGTTGACATCTACCCTGCATATGGAATATCTGTCCCTGTCTCTTAGGCATTGTACTATTAAGGCCAAGAGATTGCCATTATCAATAATTTGATGTCCCCAAAACAGTTTCAGTGGTAACCACATGACCGTACAAGAATACACCTCCTTCATTCTGTTACCAGAGAAGTGCAGGAATCTTCAGCTCTTTGTCTTACTTGGAGAAAGCATTCTGCTTTCAAGTCTTTTCCAGTGGAGAGTAGGCCTTTGTTATGGGGGATGCTCTGAACATATTTCAGAACGGTTCTTTTACTGTCTCTCTGCCAGAAAAGAAAGGATCTTTTTCTTGGCTTTCCAATATGGGAACTCACTTTAGTTTTTGGAGGTAAATTCCAAGAAAGTGGGGCAGGGGTGGGGCCCTAAGTCTAGGTGCTAGGAGTTTCTCTCTCTCAAGCTAGTCCACAATCAGCCTCCAACAATTTGTCAGAACTGCTGTTTAAGTGTTCCTACCAGTATATGACTCATGCAACTCCTTTCTCAAAAAAAAAAAAAATTTTTTTTTTTTTGAGACTGAGCCTCACTCTGTCACCCAGGCTAGAGTGTAGTGGTGCAGCCTCGGCTCACCACAACCTCTGTGTCCTGGGTTCAAGTGATCCTCCTGTCTCAGCTTCCGGAGCAGCTGGGATTACAGGCACCCACCACCATGCCCGGTTAATTTTTGTAATTTTGTAGACAGGGTTTCAACATGTTGGCCAGGCTGGTCTCGAACTCCTGACCTCAAGTGATCCACCCGCCTCAGCCTCCCAAAGTGCTGGGATTATAGGCGTGAGCTACTGCGTCCAGCCAAGCTTTGTTTTTCTTGTGAGGATTGGAGTAATGATTCTCAAGCTCTTTACATGTTGGAACTAAAATTGGAAGTTCCTGGTATTCTTTTCTACTTCTGTAGTATTTCTCTTTCTTTGGAAATCACTTTCTCTGTCTGCCCAGCTAAGTCTCCATTTTTCAGGTTACTGGTGCACATTATGCCTTACAGTGGGAGGGTCAGAAGTACTGCCATGGGCTCCCTCTGCAATGGCATTTGTCAGTGTTCTCTTCCTCTAGATTAGCTGCTTCTTTCCACTGAAGTGAGAGGCTCTGGTAGTCCTCAGGAATGAAGTAAAGCCTGTTCTGCTCCTATAGTGAGATAGCTGGGCAAAAGTTGCTGTGCAGTGTTCACTATGTGGTAGAGTCCCTGTGTCTTTTGGGATTTTTGTTGCCAACTATCCTTCCTCTGCTTCTAAACTGGTAAAGCAGTTTTTGCTCTGCTCCCAGCTTTGCTAGAATACTTTTAGTTCCCATATCTTGCTGACCTTTGGTGGAGGAAGGGATTCCGAGTTAGATACCCACAGTTTCTCTATGTGTAGACATACATCCCTATCTCCAGCACTCATCCATGGCAACTGGAGGAAATCCATTTCTATCCATTTTCCTTTGACCCCTGAATCCCAGTCACCCCTTTATTGCAATGCCTGAGGCTCTGGATCACTACAAGCTGCTGCACTCTCTTAAATTACAGGTAACTCTTTTGGGATATTTATGTCTTTCATTTTCAGAATCTTCAGCCCCCAAGGTCAAGATAGGAAACTGGTTACAAGGAAACAAGGACTTGAAATAGCAAACACAAAAATTAGCTGCCACCACGCCCGGCTCATTTTTTCTATTTTTAATAGAGACTGGGTTTCACCATGTGAGCCAGGATGGTCTTGATCTCCTGACCTTGTGATCCGCCCACCTTGGCCTCCCTAATTTTTCTCTTTTTGGTAGAGACAGGGTTTCACTATGTTGGCCAGGATGTTCTCAAACTCTTGACCTGGTAATCCTCCTGCCTCGGCCTCCCAAAGTGCTGGGATTACAGGTGTGAGCCACTGCGCCCGGCCGAGTTTTTTCCTTTTTAAAAAACTCATTTCTCTGAGTTCAATGGAAATGGACGTGCAACTATGCTATGTCTTTAATGTCTTTTTGTTATTTTCTTAACAACTGTCTAGTGTGAACCCCGAAAATCTGAGCCAGATCTCAGATAATTTAGAAAGTTTATTTTAGCAAGGTTGAAGACATGTGTCCCTGGCAGCCTCAGGACGTCCTGACGACATGTGCTCAAGGTGATTAGACCACAACTTGGTTTTATACATTTTAGAGAGACATGAGACATCAATCAGTATATGTGAGATGTACATGGGTTCCATCTGAAAAGGCAGGACAACTCAAGCAGGGAAGGGCTTCCAGGTCACAAGTTGGTGACAGACAACCTGTTGCTTTCTTTTGAGTTTCTGATTAGCCTCTCCAAAGGAGTCAATCAGATACGTATTTATGTCAGCGAGCAGAGGGATGACTTTGAATAGAATGGGAGGCAGGTTTGCCCTAAGCAGTTCCCAGCTTGACTTTAGGATTTTGAAGCTCCAAGATTTATTTTCCTTTCATACTACCAACATGTAATATATTAATGGTAAAAAAATCACCACTTTTGGAAACTCTTAGGCGTTCTTCTGGTGCGTCGCTCTCAGCTGATCTGCGCTTCTGGATGGCAGAAATGACCTGGACAGAAAAATGAGCAAGTTTAGTCATTCAAGAATATGCAGATATTTCCATGGGTGTGTACTTAGAGCTCTATGTAAACAGAGGAGGGGCTAACAAGGGTGGGCAACGGTCATATCCTCAAGGCTTGTTTACACAGACAGAGAGAGCCAGCTGGGAAATTATCTAGAGACAACAGTGCAGGAGTAAAGTATCTGTCTTCTCAGATCCCTCTGGCTTTACTCACACCATTCTCCCAGGTCCCAAAGCCCTCCCTGGGCAAGGCACAGCAGGGCTGTCTTCTCTGCCAACCTCCACCTGCAGAACTCATTCGGAAGCCGGGCCAGCACAAGCATCAATACTTGGAAAACATCAATATGTGGAAAATAATTTTACATAGCTTCTAATTTTTTTCTTGTGAAATGTTTCTGCCTTTTGGTGAATGTTACATTTTTATTTTTCAAATAATTTTATTACACAGATTCTAAAGTTTATTAGCATAGAACTGTGCTTTTTTAAAAACATTTTTTAAAATACTTTAATTACTTATAACGAACCACTTTTCATTTGCAATTTTATTGGTTATGCTACCTTTGTCTACTAAAATTTATTTTGTCTACTAAAATTTATTTTAATGTGTTCTATTCATTATTATAGTCTCTTAAAGAGCAAGTCTCTCCTGTATGAGAAGACAGAACAACTTGGAGACAGAAAAGGCTGAGATAACTTCCCCAATCTGAAATCCTCCAGTTGCCTCCTCCTGTGAAACCAGTTAGTGGTAGTCTGAGAATGGCTCAGAGAGGGAAGGGGCAGGTTCAGGTCAGAGGAAATGCTGATACGGCCACTAATGCAACAGAGCTTGGATTTCTAGGCCTCAGCCCTACAGATGTAGCTCCAGCCCATCAACCAGTGAAGAAGATCTTTTGAACCTTTTGTACTCAGCAGTGCAGAGCAGCACATTTACTGAATGAGAAGAAAAATCTGGCTGGGCGTGGTGGCTCACACCTGTAATCCCAGCACTTTGGGAGGCCGAGGCCTGTGGATCACGAGGTCAGGAGTTCAAGACCAGTCTGGCCAAGATAGCGAAACTCTGTCTCTACTAAAAATACAAAAATTAGCTGGGTTTGGTGGCGGGCGCCTGTAATCCCAGCTACTCGGGAGGCTGAGGAAGAGAATTGCTTGAACCCAGGAGGCAAAGGTTGCAGTGAGCCGAGGTCGCACCACTGCACTCCAGTCTGGGAGACAGAGAGAGACTCCATCTTAAAAAAAAAAAAAAAAAAGGAAAAGAAAAAGAAAAACTCTAAGGCCTCTGAGAACACCCAAGGGCCACAGATGCCAACTGTGAAGTGTCATCTGTTAACTTTAGCCTTCCTACAATACATTATAAACAATAAAAATGTACTCGTATCCCATATTAAATATTAAAATTCTAAAACTGCATGAGTTTGTTAAAGATGACCACTTGAAATAATGGGCTGTTTAGCAGAAACATTAAATTTATCTCTCTGCTCTAAGGTCCTTTCCTTTCCATAACTTGAAGACAGTAGGAGCTTTGTCATTAAGTCTCCAATATTCTCAAGAATAACTTAAAACACATTTAGGGCTTAAGAATAACCAAAAACTGCCGGGTGCGGTGGCTCACGCCTGTAATCCCAGCACTTTAGGAGGCTGAGGCGGGTGGATCACGAGGTCAGGAGATCGAGACCACCCTGGCTAACATGGTGAAACCCCATCTCTACTAAAAAAAAAAAAAAGAAAAAATTAGCCAGGGGTGGTGGTGGGCAGCTGTAGTCCCAGCTACTTGGGAGGCTGAGGCAGGAGAATGGCGTGAACCCGGGAGGCAGAGCTTGTAGTGAGCCGAGATGGCACCACTGCACTCCAGCCTGGGTGACAGAGCAAGATGCCCTCTCAAAAAGAAAAAGAAAAAGAAAAATTAGCTGGGCGTGGTGGCACATGCCTGTAATCCCAGCTACTCAGGAGGGGTAGGAGAATCACTTGAACCTGGGAGGCGGAAGTTGTGGTGGGCCGAGATCATGCCATTGCACTCCAGTCTGGGCGACAAGAGCAAAACTCTGTCTCAAAAAAAAAAAAAAAAAAAAAACAGAAAAAACTCAAGTGAACAAAATAAATGATGAAAAATTGAATGTCATGCACTCAGAACTGATGGGCTAAGGTAATATACACATCTCTACTCATGCTTTAACAAATCTGTCCAATGCTTTACTATTGTAAATGAAAGAGTATCTGAGAAAACTCTCAATCAATTTAGGAAGTTTATTTTGCCAAGGTTGAGGACGCACCCATGACAGCCTCAGGAGGTCCTGACAACATGTACCCAAGGTGGTCAGGGCACAACTTGGTTTTATACATTTCAGGGAGACATGAGACATCAGTCAATATATGTAAGATGTACATTGGTTCAGTCCGCAAAGGCGTGACAACTGAGGCTGGGAGGGGGGTTTCCAGGTAATAGGTAGACAAAACACAAACAGGTTGCATTAAGCAATAGGGCAAAGGAAGTAACCAGATATTCATTTATCTCACCTGAGCAGAGGGGTGACTTTGAGTTCTGTCTGGAGTTTTTTTATCTTAGTAGCTGTCTTTTTTTGGAATAGAATGGGAGCCAGGTTTGCCCTAACCAGTTCCCAACCTGTCTTTTCCCTTTGACTTAGTGATTTTTGGGTCCCGAGATTTTGTTCCCTTTTACACTATCTAAATGTATCAGTCACCAATATTGAATAAGGAAAAGAAATCTCAAAGTATTAGGTTGGTACAAAAGTAATCGTGGTTCTTGCTATTATAATACTTTTATTTATTTTATTGATTTTTATTTTTTTATTTTTTGAGATGGAGTCTTGCTCTGTCACCCAGGCTGGAGTGCAGTGATGAAATCTCGGCTCACTGCAACCTCTGCCTCCCAGGTTCAAGCGATTCTCCTGTCTCAGTCTCCTGAGTAGCTGGGATTACAGGCGCCAGCCACCACGGCCAGCTAATTTTTTTTTTTTTTTTTTTTTTGGTAATTTTAGTAGAGACGAGGTTTCACCATGTTAGCCAAAGTGGTCTCGAACTCCTGACTTTGCGATCCGCCTGCCTCAACCTCCCAAAGTTCTGGGATTACAGGCGTGAGCCACCGCACCTGGCCTTATAATACTTTTAATTTCAAAAGCCGCAATTACTTTTGCACCAACCTAATAATAATTGACTCCCTTAAAAGTAGTCAAAGCATATTCCAAAGGTATTGGATGTGGATACTTTTTATGGGAAAGTTGTTAAACTTCCAACAAGTTTATAATTGTCCTGACTGGGAATTGTCCTTGATCGCCATGCATGAGTCAGATGGAGAGGGCAAAAAGGAAAATTGTACCTTATCAGGTGGTTTCCAAAGGTGGCACCTTTTGTTATGTAACATGCTCTACAAGAGGTAGAACACTAGGATTGTTTTGATGCATACGGCCCAGAAAATGAATCTATCAACTTTTATTCCTCACGAAAACAGAGCATGCTGTTTGTGGAGGCACAATGTGGGGTCATCCTGTGACCAAACGAGTGGCAACTCTTGTTCAAGTTTCCTCCTCGTTAGGTTTGATTTCAAGGTTACCTCAGTTTCAAACCAGCCCTTTCTGTCCAGGGCACAAAAACTCCTGATTTACTACTTACAACTAGTGGTTCTCAGCCTCAGATTCGCATAAAAATTACCTGGAAGACTTTTCATTTTTAAATAAAGTTACTGATGTATATGTTATGTGCAATAATATACACCCATTTACCGTGCACAATTTGATGAGTTTTGAAAAAGTTTTACCCCTTTTAAAGATTTAGAACATTTTCAACACTCCCAGAAGTTCCTCAGGTCCTTTGTAGCCAACTTTTCTCAGCACCATCTACCTCTCCGCCACCCATCCTCCATCTCCTAGGGGGTGACGTGGTACTTTGGTAGGTAGCAGGCAAGTAGCATCCCCCAGTTAACAACCAAATATCTCTTCAGACATTGCCAAATGTGCCCTCTAGTGCAAATCTTCCATTCTGCCTTCGAGAATCACTGTATTAAGAGCATTACCTTCTGTCCAGAGGCTCTAAAGGACTGCACAGTTCATTTCACCTGGACGCTCCTTCCACTTTTCTCCTCCTGACAGCCCCAAAAATTTCACTTTCATTTCTCAGGCAGTTCCTCCTCAGGAGGGAGGGACTTCTTCACACAGAGGAACCTCATTTGTTGAATGAATCCTGACCACACCCACCCTGGCTTTTCTTCACCTCTTCAACCAGGAGCCGAGATTTCTGTTGGTCTGAAGGTGTGTGGGGAGGTTTGTGGGGGGTAGAAGGTATGAGACTCAAGGAGAAAAGTTCTCAATGAAGTTAGGAGAATTTGATTTATGGCCCCAAGGCTGCCCTGCTCTGTCGGGAGCAAAGGCTGGCTTGCAGCCTTCCTGCTTTGCGTGCGCACTGATAGCAGCCTAGAGTCTGGGGAGGGACAGCCTTGAAAGCAGTGTTAAAGAGGCAGAAGGCTGCCTTTGTTTTCTGGAGTGTCTTTTTTTTCTCCAGGCTGAATCCAGTTCCATTGCTTTCCTATTGTATAATTTTGATTTTCTACCTTGCAAAGGAAACTGAATTCTCTCTCTCTCTTTCTCTTTCTCTCTCTCTCTCTCTCTTAAAGAGATGAACAGAAGATCTCTTATTTTCCACCCCCCTCCCTCCTCAAAAGAGAAGTTGGTGAGAGGAGGTCTCTGTTTTTCAAGTGTGTGCAGGGCTTAGCTCCTAGTATGCAGCATCAGATAGAATGGAGCCATGGGGGCATGGCCAGGGGGAATATTGAAGCGGGTTCTTTCGCTGCCCTCCTGGCAACCACTAAGCGGCTTTCTGAGGCCATCCTCACGTATTCTTAGTCCTTGGCCTGCCTGACTATAGCAGGTTGAGTGATCTGACTGCTGCACACCGCTCTGTTCCCTCTTATCCTCTGTCTTTCTGCAGGTCATGTCAGGGCTCTCCTTGCACATCCCCGAACATACTGTTTACTTTTACTTCAGTAACACATGTGCCACCAGCATCTTCACCTGTCTCAGAACTTGTTCCTCATCATTCTTCCTCTTAGACACACCTTCGCATTGATTTATAACCTCAATTTCTTATTGCTTTTCTTTGCTCACAACTACTTAGCAGAAGTTGTTTATTGTGGGCTCAGAAGGAGCCCACAGATTTAATCTTCTTGTTAAGAATTTGACATACAGTATGTCCTATCTTAAGCTCACTTGCAAGCAATTTGCACCTTGATTGATATGTTACAGATATTCCGACACATGCCATTCTGGCCTCTGCTCTCACCCCTCAGAGTTCACTGAAACTGCCATCCTCCTGGGTGGAATCCATGTCTGCCTGCATACTGACGGTCTCCCAGAGGCATCTAGTCAGGCACGAGGCCCAATATATGGGATAATATTGATTATAAAGCAGGCTGCTGATGTAAAAATGTGCAATTAGCATCCATTCAGCATTCAGAAAATATGAAATATATGTGGAAGCCTACATTCTAATTAGACAGCAATCATAGACCATATCAATGAATGATAGAGTACACAAGAAGATAACTAATACTATGGAGTAACATCTTTAAGAAGTTAAATTAGGATAAGGACTCTGTAAAGACCTCATAAAGGCCTTGCAACTTTAAATAGTTTTTATGAAAGTTTTAAATAGTTTTCATTGTAAGAAGAACACTTTTGAATAGAATCTTAAGAATTTGAGGAAATTAAAGTCTTTAATGGTTTTTCCCTGCACTTAAAAGGAAAACAGTGTGGATACGGAAGGTTGAGATGGGAGTGTGCAGGGAGAGGAATAAAAGGTGAGCTCTGGCCAGAAGTGGTGGCTCATGCTTGTAATCCCAGCACTTTGGGAGGACAAGGCAGGAGGATCACCAGAGATCAGGAGTTCAAGACCAGCCTGCCCAACGTGGTGAAACCCTTTCTCTACTAAAAAAATGCAAAAATTAGCTGGGCATGGTGGTGGATGTCTGTAGTCCCAGCTACTTGGGAGGCTGAGGCAGGAGAATCGCTTGAAGCCGGGAGGTGGAGGTTGCCAAGATCTTGCCATTGCGCTCCAGTCTTCCAGCCTGGGGGACGAGAGTGAGACTGTCTCAAAAAAAAAAAAAAAAAGGTGAGCTCTGAGGATTGAGGCAGTGGGAAGGGATGTGTGATGCGGACCTAACTGGACCATTATGAAGTCTGGCCTCACTCTGGATGGCATGGGTGTGAACAGAAGAGTGACATGATTGACATCTGCTTTAAGGAGATCACTCTATCTACTGATGTAAGAACAAAGATGAGAGCAGAGTGAAGAAGGGCAATCATGGCTGGGCACAGTAGCTCATGCCTATAATCCTAGCACTGTGGGAGGCCAAGGCAGGTGGATCACTTGAGGTGGATCATGAGTTTGAGACCACCCTGGCCAAGATGGTGAAACTCTGTCTCTACTAAAAATACAAAAATTAGCCAGGCGTGGTAGCAGGCACCTGTAATCCCAGCTACTTGGGAGGCTGAGGCAAGAGAATCACTTGAACCCGGCAGGCAGAGGTTGCAGCGAGCCGAGATCACGCCACCACACTACAACCTGGCTAAAAAGGGAGAAACTCTGTCTCAAAAAAAAAAAAAAAAAAAGGAAGGGCAATGATAGTATCAGCAAGACTAGTTGAAGAACAATTTCCTGAATTCAGGTGGTTTCTACCGGAGTGGTGGCAGTTGAGGGGGTTGGAACTAATTTGGAAAAAAAAAAAAAAAAAAACTCTTTCAGCATATTCTCACGAAGTAACAGACAGAAAAAGACAAGATTAGGGGTTGCTTAATGAAAATGATTCTATGTTAAAAAAAAAAAAAAAAAAAAAAAACTTTTGGGAAATATATTGACCAGAACACTACAGCTCTTGGGGAGAGAGTCACTAATGTGGTATAGATTGAGCCCTGGACTCTAAGGAGTAGCTGAAGCAAGAACTCAGTACATAGAGGAATGGGGAGGAGATGTTACGATGTTTCTGAGCTCTCCAGGCCTCTGGATGTCAAAACAGGCTCTACTTTCCTTATTGGCAGTTTCTGACCAAGGAACCAGAAGAAGTGTCTAGGATATTGTCTAGAAACTTCAAAGGACATCCTCCCCTAAAAGTCACTCTTAGACACACTCTAATTTTACTATCTACCTGCAAAGAGACTTAAAGTTTGCATTATCATATCCAGATGTTAGGAGTCCAGATGTTAGGAGAAGACTCAAAAGAAGGGTACCATCACCTGGCAGCTATGGTAACCAGGTAACCTGGGAGTTCTGTCAGGCCCATGGCACTCATGTTCCCTTCTCTACCTCCCTGACTGCTGCTGGGCTTGAGCCACATTGGGAAGTGGTGGGGTCATTTCTCACACGTGGGACCCTGGTCCTCTGCACTTTTCTCATTCTTTTGTCATTATGGTGGCAGCAGCTTTGGCATCAACATGCAACCTCACTGTGAACATGAAGTCACAGCCCGTGGCAGAATGCATGTTCTACTGCTTCCTCTCCTGGAGTCCCCCAGTATTTCTAACTATTAGTTGGATACTGATTGGAATAAAAGATAACAAAGAACCCCACATCTGTGGTTGGCTCATAGCTTTAGCCATAAACAGGGGTGAATATTATCATATCATGTAAACTCCTGGTCTTACTAGTCATCAGATCCTGGTCTGACCAATGGTCATTGCAGCCACGGGCTACCAGTATATCTCTTTTGTATGATTTTTAGTATCTGTACCATTGGCTGGATGACATTTGCCAGCCTACTTTCAGCCTTTTTTCCTCCTTAAGGTCTTTTGATGGATGATTAGAGGAATAGACAGGTCTCGAGGCCTAGATTTATCTTCATACAGCTTTTTATCGTACCCCATCCTTTTGCCAAGCATAGGAAAGATTCCTAGGTTGTCACACATCACAGATCTTTCTTTCACTATCAAACCTGTTCAAATATATTAGTTTTCTAGCACTGTTGTAACCAATTATCACAAACTAGATGACTTAAAACAATAGGACTCTATATCACAGCTCAGGAGTCCAGAAGTCCAAAACCAAGATGGTGGTAAACTTGATTTTTTTCAGAAGGCTCTATGTGAAAATGGGTTCTATTCCTCTCCCCTAGCTTCCAGGGGTTTCTAGCAAACCTTGGCATTCTTTGGCTTATATCTGTGCTACTTCCGTCTCTGTCTCTATTGTCACATGGCTTTCTTTCCCGTGTGTTTGTATGTCCTCTCCTCTTATAAAAACACAGGTCAAGGCCGGGTGCAGTGGCTCACGCCTGTAATCCCAGCACTTTGGGAGGCTGAGGCAGGTGGATCACCTGAGGTCAGGAGATCGAGACCAGCCTGGCTAACAAGGTGAAACCCCATCTCTACTAAAAATATAAAAATTAGCTGGGCTTGGTGGCATATGCCTGTAATCCCAGCTACTCAGGAGACTGAGGCAGGAGAATCGCTTGAACCTGGGAGGTGGGGGTTGCAGTGAGCCGAAATCGCGCCATTGTACTCCAGCCTGGGCGACAGAGCGAAACTCCATCTCAAAAAAAGAAAAAAACACAGATCTTTAAATTTAGGGCTTGTCTTTATCCAGTATGACCTCATCTTAACTTGACTACACCTGCAAAGACGTAGTTTTCAAATAAGGTCATATTCATACAAGCAAATATATTTTTGTGGAGGGTATAATTCTATCTACTAGAACAAGTATCAAAATGTTACTTACTGCCTACTGAGAGCCACCCTTTTTCCCTTTGCCTCACAGTTTCTTGTCTAAACTGACCTCAGGTTCTGAGAATTGGCATTGTATCATCATGCCACTACTCTGTGGTGCACCCTCTGGCTGACCACAAGCAATAATTGCAGGTTTCTTTTGCCACTTGCACTCATGCAGCTTAACTCTGCAGGGGGAATACAGGACAGGAGATATAGCATGCAGGCTGGGCTGCTTCAGGTAAGCTCTTAGTGAGGATTTTTTCTTTCTTTTTTTTTTTTTTAGACAGAGTCTCGCTCTGTTGCCCAGGCTGGAGTGCAGTGGCGCCATCTCGGCTCACTGCAAGCTCTGCCTCCCCTGTTCACGCCATTCTCCTGCCTCAGCCTCCCGAGTAGCTGGGACTACAGGCGCCCACCACCATGCCTGGCTAATTTTTGTATTTTTAGTAGAGACAGGGTTTCACCTTGTTAGCCAGGATGGTCTTGATCTCCTGACCTCGTGATCTGCCAGCCTCAGCCTCCCAAGGTGCTGGGATTACAGGTGTGAGCCACCGCGCCCGGCCTCAGTGAGGATTCTT